ATGAGGACAGGCAGTGGCTTGGGGAGATGGAAATGGATATTTATTCTTGGATATTTTCAAAGTATTTATCCTGTATCCTGTCTGCCTGTTTTGGGGTATCTTAGGGGAGTTTTATGAGCTTCCCAGCCACCGCTCATGCTACATAGCTGCCACAGAATGTAAAGCTCGAAAAGTTTCAGCCTAAGTAGTTTCATTCGATTAACACAGTTTTAGCCACAGAGTTAACTTGGTCTACGCCTGACTAATAAACTTTTAATTGAATTCTAAGGCTTCACTGAGACTAGAAAACCTGTAAAATCTCACATCGCCTGCCCGCAACATCACCACTCTCGTAACGATTTTCCGTTATGGCAACATTTCAATTTCCCTGCTGGTCCTGTGTGAAAAATTAATGCCAAATTCGAAACAAATTGCAAAAGGCGGTGGCAGAGTGTTGAAAGTGACAACGGCAGTCAGCCAACGACGGTGACAGGAAGTAAAGGATGCCAACAGGATGTCTGACGATGGCGGAGCAAAGCTATATAGCAACTAATGAGCGAGGAGTTAAGAACTGTAGAGATACCCTAAACAAAGTTCTTTAAGATAGAAATTTATAAATAAAGTATGGAACTCGCAAATAAGTATTTCTATAAAGAAAAGCTTAAATTGTTCTTGGGTTTAATGTTAGTTTAACTCTGCAAAAAAAGAGGCTTGTACTTGGAAAGAGAAAATAATTTAAAATGTAAACAAAGGGCTTAAGTTCGCTCACAAAAAACTCTTCGTATTGCGTATCTCATTTGAACAGTCTGTTGTAATTTAATTATATACAAAATCGACATTATGTCAACATATCAAGCACACAAATCGTTTGTTAAATGTTTCTCTATCTCACTTTGCACAATTTATTTTATCAATTTAACTGCATTTGGACGTCACAGCTTAGACAAGCTTAGAATGCCATTCTGGCCTCTAACTGACAAGTCCCTGAAAGTCCGATATACCCCAACAGCGTTCGTTTTGACTTGGTGCAAAAACATTTTTGCCAAAATATGCCCGCAAACCTCAACAGCATTTTTGGACAGAGGAAGCGTGGGGTCGGAGTTTAGTGGGCAAATCCACTTGTTCACTTCCCACCCAAAAATAAAACCGAAAAAAAAGAAAACATTCACAACAAAATAAAGTAGGGTGTGCGTGGGTCCCAAAAGCTGGGCTTGGTTTGGTTTGCTTAGTGGGTTGGGTTAGTCTGCTGTTGGCATTCGGTGGCAAGGCAAAAAATCAATGTTGCCAGCAACAACACATTGGCAAGAGGAACCAGAACCATAACCAGGACCAGAACCAGGACGAGGACCAAACCCAGAAGCAGGAGCAGCGACATCTTGTCAGGGCCGTCACCTCGATGCCAAAGGAATGTTTTCCGCCCACAAGCCGACTTGTTTCCTTGTTTTCCTACAAGGATCCCCCTCGCGTCTGACGTCCAAGCAATTTAAATTTATAAGCGCTAATATTGTCAAAGCGTAACGCAACAAAGAATCCAACTCGGGTCCTTCCTGTGCCTTCCGTTCACTCTGCTCCTTGTGCATTGTTATCCCTCGGCATGCTTTTATAGCAGCCAGCCTTTGTCGCGGGAAACATAAATTAAATGGCCAAAGCAATAAAAACCAAATCAATTTGAGCGTGAAATCGATTTTCATTTTTCTACCACTCTTGCTTGTTGCTCGTCGCCAGGACTCTGCTCCAATCCTTCGGCGCCAATCGATAAATTCTCGATTGCAACAGGTACGACTGGGTGCTGGTGACTGGTGCCTGGCGATTGGCGGTGGAAAGCAACTAAATCAACGACTTTGTCGAGGTAATGGGCGCTGGTCATGCCCGACCCAATGGCACCGCTGCCGTCGTTTACCGCCTTGATTAATGTCGCACGCCGGAATGGATTGGCGGGAAGGTAGGTGAAGGTAAGGCGGAATCGGAATTGGATTTTTCCCTATTCCCTGAACATTTTTTCTTGCCTTAAACTTCAATTAAGGTGCAAAAGTAAAACGCTACCAGCTTTAGTGAAAGGTGCGTTTATATTTTAATTCTATATTAAATTTTTGTAAATATAACCACTCAAAGTATGCCCCTAGAAGGTGACTTAAAGTATAATTAAATAATCACTTTCAGCATAAATATTTTCCCAGCACTTGTAAACTACAATTTAATTTAATTTCCGCTTGCAAACAATTTTGATAGTTTGATAAAGTGACTGCAAAGGTTAGGCCGGCGTAAGCAACTAGAATTTCTTGTTGGCTGGGAAAATCTTCATTGTCATTATTTTTAATTTGCGCATCTATGACATCAGTCAGTGGCCGCCAAGAGGCAAGCTACAGGACACGGGCTTAGACCATCGGTAGGACCCCCCTGTGGGTGACGCGCTGGTCCTGCCCAGTTGGCTCTCGCTCCAGCGTTGACAAAGCAATTTCCGCCAACTGCAAATTACACAAGCAGACATCGACGACGATGTGAAATAGAACCAAGGACTAAGGACGACGTAAAGTGCATGTGGGAGCGGGGACGAGGAATCGGTTTCGGGGCACACAACTTGGGCTGTCTTTCCTGTCCCTGGCTGCAAGGGCTGCTGCTCACTTGTGTGGCAGCTTCCGTCGCTGCCACTTGTGCATACATAATCAACAATTAAAGATTAAAACGCCACAGACAAAGTTGCCCCAGCAGGCAAACTTATTAATAAAAGGATTCTGAGCAAGGAACTCTAAGTAATTTAAGTTCTTTGTTCCGAAAAAGTAACCAAAAATATGTTTTAAATTTAAGAATTAGATTCTAGCTAAAAATACCCTAAATTACGAGTAAAATATTACTTTAGTATTTGTTTAATTATTTTGTCTGCAGATTGTGCAATGAAAAACTTTCAGATCAAAGTATTTTAATATTCAATCCCCCACAAACTGGATTTCTTCAAGTGCAAATCCGACAAATACTTTGACACATTTCAACAACTTTCAAGGAGTGGGTGGAGGAGTCCCTACCCTGGAGAGGCACGCTCAGGCGGAACAAAGTCGGCCGGACTTGGGAATTCCTTCAATTTTCTTTAGTTCTTCTCCTGGTGCCACTTTTAATTGCATTACGCCCCTTTGGAATTGCAAAGGATGCACAGCCTAACTCCTCTCCCACTCTCGAGTTTTAATTGAAGGGACACAGCTGAAGCCGTCGTAATAAAATGATTTTCCCAGCAATTTCCTTTGAGAGGTGTCCCATTTCTCGCTGTTCATTAATATTACTGGCCTGTGGTGTCATTAAAATATGTAAAGATGAAAAGTATGTGAAGAATGCAGATGTGTAAATCGATGTGCCGGGGTCTTGCATCAATTAAAAAGCCCTTCGATTTAAATTTCGCTCAGCAATGGCAAAACCGTTACAATTCGATATCAAACGATTTGCATATAGCCGACAATTTCACGCAGATTTTTGGGACCCACGCACACGAACGTCGAGAGAAGAGAAATCCTCTTCAGTCAGCAAAATCTGTTTACGAATTCGCCTCCTGGGACTGGGCCGGATTCAAAGTTGCGTGCCGTATCAAAGTTATCTTTTTGGCATATCACTTGGCGGGGTTGTGTTTCCACCGAGGCGGGACAGGGGGAAGGTCGGAAAACTTCGGGGTGGACCAGTAAGACACACTTAACACCTCGGCACGTGAGTTTCCAATTTCGGCGACAATTGCTATGCCAACACACGTCTGCTCAGGTAAAGCCTTGAATTTAATTGAATAAGAAATGGCTACGGAAGCATGTCTCCAATCAATATTTGCCATCAAGCGTTGTTTCTGGAGTATAAGCGGAATCTTACTTAAGTCTAGGTCTATGAATACATTTTGGATACAGGATGTTGTGTGAAAGTAAATATACTTTCTTTGGGTATTTGTTGTATTTTCTATAAGTCTTTATAATGAGATGTTTCAACATGAAACTTATTTTACCTTGATAATAAATGACCATATTTAAAAAGAAAATAATATGTTCGAGATTTTAAACATTTACTTTAACTTTAGAAAACATATAGTAATAAACTTCCTAGGTATTTATGACTTGAAAAAGGTGTAACTGAATCAACTTTATCTAAGAAATAACTAAACTTCTTTAAAGTTTATTTTTAGCTTTGAAACTAAACTTTTCAAGACCCTTTTATATGTGCACACTCATTTCCGGAGATGTAAAATATTCACATATATTTATATCGCATCTTTTGAATATATTCGCGTACCTTCATCTTGGCCTTCCGCTCATTCCCAGGCACGTCATGCCAGCGGCCATAACCAGCTTATTAAATTGCAATCAATCTTTTCCCAGAACAGAAGACACGACAAGACGAAGCGGAGACGCGTCATCGTCAGTTCGCAGTGAATTACCAATTTTACTGTCACGGCTACGTCAAATCGATAGGGAAAGCGAAAACAGAATCGAAACGAGGGCGCAGGAAGAGCACCTGGCCAATGTCAATCGATAACCTTGCACACAAAATGTGGAATGTGCAGCGAGGGGTGGAAATTGCGGGGAGGCGAAAGAATGTAAAACAATGAAAGGAATGCCAAAATAACAAAATTTCCCATGCATGAGGTCTCCCTTCCACCCTGTACAGACACTTGTTGACCTCGTAATGGCTATTGTTATTCCCCTTCGATGCACACAGGTAACTGGAAATGCTTCCATTTAAAATACAACTTTGTTAGTTTTCTACAGGTCTGCGGGCAGAATGTCTCTTGATAAAACAGGGAATAGGAAAATAATGTTTTAAGCCAAAGTTATAGTATTCAGAAAGTTTTTACCTTTAAAAATAGTTTGTAAATTTACATTTCAAGTTGAATTTTCAGTGTGAGAATAGTTACGAGACTTTAAAGATAAAATGTTTACTATAATTACGAAATCCAGTAAATAACTCTTTAAGAAAATGTTATATTTATTGTTTTTGAAGAAACAAGTTGCATTATACTTCTCCACTTCGTCTGGATTTCCCATTCTTGGTTTACTTACCGATTGTATATGTGGCTCCATCCACCGTGAATGTGGCCGCTTTGCATTTGTTGAAAAACCGCGAGGCAAAATCCAAAGCTGAGTTTTTCAAGCTAGAGGATACCCGGCGAATGGGTGAGTCCGGGCAGGAAGTGGGCTGCGACACCTGGTGCTGCAACACCTGATGCTGATGCTGCTCGAGGGTCGTTACAGTGCTGGTTACCGTGTTAGCGGAGGTCAGTCGTGCCGTTAGCACCGCGGGCACCGGGCCACTAGCACCTGGACTATTGCCGGTACATACACCAGCTCCGGCACCCGGAATGGTGGCCTGACCTGGTACCAGACCTCGATTGGTCACAGGTGTGGCCGTCCCGGGAGCCAAGCGACGTGGCGCATTCGATGGATTTAAATTTGACATTTTGCACACTCGAGCGTTGCGTTGCGTTTCCGTTTCCGTTTACGTTTAGAATCGCGCTTCAATTTCTATTCTGTGGCAGTTCACTTGATCACACTCATGATGTTGGACACTGAACAAAGGCCAGGATATCAATTAGAGCTTAGGACACCTGTTGTACATCCGAAATTAATTGTTAGAGGAGGCGGGAACCTGACCAAGCCAATTTGTTGCAATTACGGTTAAGAGAATGAAATTCGAACATATTTTGCTTGCAGTAATTACACAAATAAACTCTTTGGAAATATTTTTATATATAATTTGATTCAAATTTCTTTGGAATATTAAAATATAATCAACACCATTTATTTAGACTCTATTTAAATGTTTAAAGGTAATTAAGCAAAGCTTGTTAATCCACTTTTATATAAACTGGAATAATTTTTAATTAATACCAATCTCTAACAAATGTATGTTGGGCATTTTAATTGCATTTACATTAAAATATTTAGCTAATTTTCTATTGTCACTGCAAGTAAATATCTATGGTATCCTCCCACGCATGCCAAATTTCAATTTGAAAAATTTAATTGGTCAATAAAAAATGTCCAAATATCTTATTACCAAAGTTAATTTAAATTCCGAAAATATAAGTACCCATATTTCCGGAACCGCAATTCAGCAATTTGTATATCTCTTTCTCTACATATCTGTGTGTGTCTGTGGGAATTTGTGTTTATGCAGCTGCGGGTGCTTTTGGGTCAACATCATCGTATCTGCAGCTATATCTGTTTTGTCGATCAATTTATCTGGCCAACCCCCCAATTTGCTATAATTTGCCCGTAGTTTCAATTTGCCAGTGCCCGAAATTTAAACAAAATTGCAATTACAACTGTTAGTGTGGGTTGGTGAAATCCGGAAAAACATGTGTCCACATGGGAGGGCCACCGAAAAAGCAAAGCCGTATGGCTGTGCGAGAATGATAATAATGATGGAGATGATGATTGCAGTCAATAAAAACGGAATTACCAGGGCTGAACCAACGTTTGGCCGGGCTGGCACAGGTTAAGTGAATGCGGAGAGGGGTTAACTGGTTGGAGTTTGGGGTTTGTACTTTGTCGGTACTTCAGCCAGTCGGTTGATGACTTTGCCTCTGTGTGTTTCTGTCTCTGGCATATTTCTGGCTCTCTAAAATGCGACGAATTAAAGTAAATTGCTTGGAAATAATAGCGTACACTGGAGCATCAACCATAGCAGAAGGTATACAACAGTACACGGTAGCAAAATATAAAGTCTATAATAAATGGAAATCATCCGCTGTTCAGTTTTAATGGAGGTATTTGTGAAAGCGGAAAGGGAAGCTAAATTAAATAATATTTAATGGGTTTTAAATAGTTTTGAAATATATATTTTAGAGCCTTTTTCATTAGAGAAAAGTTATGAAAAAATTAGAAGATATAAACTAATATTGGATGCATAATAATTTATTAATATTCACTGGGAAAATTGTATATATGGTATTTTAAGAAATATTTATCCTATTTTTTTTCACTGCACACACGCACACCCGGACAAGGCATAGCCGCCAGACAATGAGTGGCTTTCTGCGGCTAAATTGCCGCCGGTTCCTGCCCGCTGCCTATCAGCCAGCGCTTTGTGATAATGGCATTCAAATGTATACATTTGAGGTTTTTGTTTTTTTGTTGTTGTTTTTGCTTTTCCCGTTATGCCGTTTGGATGCTTATCGCACTGCGGAAAAGGCGCCAGGAATTGCCACATCCAAGTACCGCCGAAAGAAGAGTATAAACAAACAATGGCAATAATAATAAATTCTGCTTTGGTTGCTAGATGTGTCACAATCCGTGAAATGCGAATTGTTAGTGAGCTTAATTATCACCAATTATTTCTCTACTATTAAGCCGCCTTCAAAGGATTTTAATCCGCGGTGCTTCAGTGCTCCAACTTTCTGTGGTGAACAAATCATAATCCATTGAGGGGGAAAAAAAAACACTCGAACTTTCTGTCCAGCTGCTATGGCTTTGTCTATCCGCTTTTCATAGGATTACCTTTAATCCTGGATTAATTCTTAAACAAATTTGGACCTTAAACTACCTATTACTAGGAAAATAACTAACATTTATAATAAGCTTCTATAGACTTAAAGAAAGCATACTTTCCTGAGCTGTTGGACAATGATAAATAAATATATAGCTATTTTTCTTTCAGAGACTGGTATATTTCTCCCTATTTTGCTTAATTTTCCACATGTAAAAGATCTCTATCTCCATATAGTATTATAAAAAAATAGTTTCTTTGTTCCAAAATGTTTTTGCTGACTGTAACTGAAAGCTGTAGTATACCTTTATGCCCCACAAATGCTGGTTATAAAAATAAAAAAGGAAATATTACTGCCCTATATATACTCGCCGGGTTTTATTATCTGTTCCACTTTGACTGGCCTGTGTTTGTCTGTCTGTGTTTATGCCATGTCAACACCCCGAAAGATGGACGACTCAATGTCTCGATTTCGACGAAAGAAAAAAATAGGAAAATCTGGGACTCGGATTATGGATTTTTGTGGGCGTGTGTTTTATGCTTTATTGCATTATAACAAGTTTTAGTGGCGTGTTGTGTCTAGCTCTCGTTCTCTTTCTCCCTGGGTTTTTTGTTCGCTGGGCCATACTAATTAATACCTTTGGGCGTCCGTCATGAATAGGTGTGCGTGTGCGTGTGGGTGTGTGGTGTGTGGGTGTGTGCGGCCATGTTTGCAGATAAATTGCGATGCTCAGTGGCTTGGATAAGCAGACCGGCTTTAATTTGGTAAATTAATTCTGAAATATTTAGGTCGCAAATATCCAGCTCTACCCAACCCCCCGCGGACACACATTCCCCGCCGCCCGCGCTCGAGATTCGAACGCAACCCCTCTGACAAGGTCACGGCTCGAGGGAGCTCCTCGCAGATAAAAGACTGAGCTATGTATATATATATGTTTATATATATATATTGAACAAAGAGCGGCAGCGAGCTCAAACTAAAGCCGAGGAGAATGTTGAAAATTTAAGGATACCGGTTGGCAGGATGGATATTGGGATACTCGGGCGGGCTGCCTTTGATTTGCGCCGAGCATAATCAACTCAGTTGGAAACATTCTCGCGCTGAAAACTGAAAGCGAAACGCAACAACAAAAACAACAGGAACGAAAAAAAGAAACCCTCTTGCTAAGGAAACTGCCGGAAAAGTAGATATAGCCAGCAAGCAGGTCAGCCAGCAAAAAAAAAAATAAATAAATAAAAAATTACCAGGCAAATTGCCGAGGCCCGGTCCAGAAATATATATGTGCGGACATAAATAAAAATAAAGGGCCAACAAAAATATAAACTTTGGGTGAATTTTGCGGTTTAAGGACAACAATTGGCTGCTCACTTCCCGTTGGCCGTCGAGCACTGGACAACAAAAGCCGGGTGGCAGCCGCCACTTTTGAACTTCTAATGAAAATTAATCAGAAATGTTGTGCGGCGGCTTGTTGTCTTTCCCTAAATACGATCAAAGACCTATGCAAATTGGTTTAGTTTCCTGTGTTTTCTGTATTTTACTACCCTGGCCAGTCCCCCATGTTTCTGTGTTGTTTAGTGTAATTTCTGGAGTTTTTACCACCCGGAGAACACCTGAAAAGGGTTTCCTAACCCCAGTTAGATTGACTGAGCAAAAGGGTCGGGTCAAGCCAACGCCTAAAGGGTTTTTGGGGGAAGAGCCAAAGGGAAGGGGACTTTTGTTTCTGTTTCAGGCTGGTCTGGGTCATATCATTGCCGTCGAGTTAAGTGTTAATCCGCTTTTGTTATTGTTTGGCACACAGCAAGAGTCAGCCCGAAGGATGGCGCAGGATCAGGTGTCTTCTTTGCTTTCCGAGGTGTTACCGTGTTGCTTATATTTCTTTTATTTCAGGGTTTGAGTCTCAGTCTGAGTCCGGGTTACATAATTGTTAATTTAAAATGTGTTTAATGCAAATTTAGTTGTCCCAATGTCCTGGCCCCGAGCTGCTAATTGCCGGGCCCTGGCCCTCGACCATTCGCACATTAAGCTATTAATTTATCGAGGGGTTTGAGCAGGACAGAGCCAAACAAATTGCTGAGCAAATATTTGCTGCAAGCCAGCGATTTGTTGTGGCTTCTATTCCTGCCACCACCCATTGACAGGGCAACAGGTTTTGAACTGAAGGCCAAAAGCAACAAGTTTACTTGGTCAACCGATACCCCAGCCCCACGCTTCTGCTTGAACGTGTTTTTATTTTTCTTTTTAGCATTTTCCTGAGTAATTAAAATTGCCACTTGAAACACTGCCTTTTTTTCTTGCTTTTTTTTGTAGCCGGAACTTCACTTGATGGGGCGCCCGAACTACGCATACACACTGGCCCCGAGGACGAGAACTACGAGAGCAAGACTCCAACTCGGAAAGGGATGCGAGGCGCGAATCGGAAGCACTTCCTGTTGCTCTGGGCTGGACGCATTACCTTCCGGCAAACGTGTTGCCAATCAACTGACGAGCTGCAAATCATGTCCTGGCCTTCAGCTGGCTGCCCCACTCGGAGGCAAAGAGTGTGTATCAAGAGCGGAAGCTCTCCGGCAAGAGCGGCAATCAGCGCTGATGAGAGCTTTGAGTTGGCACTAAAGAGAGGAAATGCAGGAAGGAAGAGAGTCCTGGCAAGAAAACCAACTGGCTAACAGTTAATATGGCAAATACGAAGATAGTTCCCTGAAGAAAACTATATATACTTACTTATATTAACTATATATATTTAAAACTTAATTATATAACATTACTTTAAGGGTTTTATAAAGGCTCTTGTGGTGAAGGTAGTAAAATATAATAAATACTTTAGTTTTATAGAATTAAAAAAAAAACAAATTACAAAGTTACGCCTTGGTAAATCAAATATTTAGGCATCAGAATGTCCCAATAAATATTTACTCTTAGAGTTTTGGAAACCTAAAATAAATGTATAACTCTTTTGAAAAGATTATGAAATATATAAATTCCTTTTTCCTAATGATTACATCATTCAATGAATAATTGATTTATAATAATGTTTTTCTTTACATTATAAAGCTATT